TCGTGGCCCAGAACAAGCCACGTGAGGCACTCACCTGCGGTCGCTTCCTCTCCATGGAGACGGGGGGTGTTGGTTGGCAAGCGCCCTGTGCCTGCAGCCACAGAGGCAGTCACGTGACCTGGGCATGCCTTCCCCAGCCGGCTGCGCCTCACCCGACGGGGTTTGCAGCCCTCTCAGCTATTTGCATGTAGCGCAAGTAACCAGCCCGGGTTGCGCCTTTCTCCCTGCAGGCGCCTGGCTCCGGGGCGCGCGAGCAGGACGCGGGCGCCGATGGGAGTGACTGCGTGGGGAGCAGCGCGGCATCATGCGCGGCGCACTGAGAGTGTTTCTGCTCCTCTTCCATCAGCCCCTCCTGCCGGGTAAGCTCCCCAGGGCCTGCGGCCTGGCAAGCAGAGAGAGGGTGGCGCTGGCTGCGGAAGGGTTCGCCGTGCTAGGCCTGGGCACGGGTTCAGTCTCGGCCCCGCAGGCGCGCTCTCCTCCATGCAAAGGCTTGGTGGCCGGTGGCTTTGTAAAGGGCAGGCTTTGTTACGAGCAAAAGACAAGATTTCTGACCGCCTGCCTTGCCAGCACCCCCGAGACAACCTGGGCAACTCTGCCTAACTCAGAGCCTTGGAACAGGAACGATGGGCACGTTAGTAGGAAAAAACGCTTCAGCAAAAGCAGGCGGCTGACCGGGCAAGGAGCCCAACGAGGGGCAGTTTGAAAATATAATCAAGCACCGCGTGGGAAGCAGAAAGAAGAAACTGTAAAGAGAGTCCTCTGTGCACACATGGACTGTCCAGGCTACAGGCTGTGCAGCATGCATGATGTGTGCGCAGTGACATCTTTTCCCACCTCCAGACAGAGATGACAATTGTCTTATTAAAGCTGAGTTTTTTCATATGCAAAATAACATTTTTGACCAACTCACGTTTTCCTTTGGATTGACATTTTTAATTGGTTAAATTTTTGCAGGTTTATTGGTCACAAACCAAATTTAAAAAATCAATTTTTCCATGTGGGGGATTTTACTTTCCTTTCTCTTCTATTTTTCCACTTTTTTCCAGTGGTAGAGAAAGAGAAAGGAAATTAATAATAACAAAAAAGAAAACGTACATCTGGCAGCCACTATCAGTGGAGTGCCTCAGAGGCCGGTTTTATTCAGCATCCTTCAGTAATGCCCTGGCCGAGGGGATGGATTGCACCCTCAGCAAGTTTGCGGCTGACACTAAGCTGGGGGGAGAGGTAGATACGCTGGAGGGCAGGGATAGGGACCAGAGTGACCTAGACAGATTAGAGGTTTGGGCCAAAAGAAATCTGATGAGGTTCAACAAGGACAAGTGCAGAGTCCTGCCCTTGGGAGGGAAGAATCCCAAGCATTGGTACAGGCTGGGGACTGACTGGCTAAGCAGCAGTTCTGCAGAAAAGGACCTGGGGGTTACAGTGGATGAGAAGCTGGATGTGACTCAACAGGTGCCCTTGTAGCCAAGAGGGCTAATGGCATATTCAGGTGCATTAGGAGGAGCATTGCCAGCAGATCCAGAGAAGTGATGATTCCCCTTTATTTGGCTCTGGCGAGGCCACACCTGGAGTATTGTGTCCAGTTCTGGGCCCCCCACTATGGAAAGGCTGTGGCCATGCTGGAGAGAGTTCATAAGATAAGAAAACGATGAGGGGCCTGGAGCACGTGTCTTATGAAGAGAGGCTGCAGGAACTGGGAATATTTAGGCTGTAGGAGAGAAGAGGGAGGGGGGATTTGAGAGCAGCCTTCAGCTTCCGGACGGGGGGTTCCAAAGAGGCTGGTCTCAGTGGGGGCAGAACAAGGGGCAATGGGCTGCAGGTTAGATAACAGGAAAAGCTCCTTCCCTAGGCGGGTGGGGAAGCGCTGGGATGGGCTCCCTAGGGCGGGGGTGGAATCGCCAGTGCTGGAGGTTTTAAGTCCTGGCTGGGCTGATGTAATTGGGGTTGGTCCTGCTTTGAGCTGGATTTGGACCAGTTGGGCTCCTGAGGTCACTTCCAGCCCAAATCTCCCTGAGTCTGTGAACTTTTTGGTTTTGGTTTGCAGCTTTCATGTTTCTGGAAGCAATGAAGAATTCCAATGCAGGTTTTCACGTAGATGTTTTAAAACACAAAACACCTAGCGCTTTTTCAGACTGCTCTTGCGCTAGGCAGACTGCACTAGCTCCCCCCACCCATGCACTTCTAGTTCATCCGTGGCGACACTGCACTAGGCTAAACCGGGCCTGCAGGTTTGTCTGATCTCGCGGTGGGTGCTTGGGCAGGGCAGACTGTAGCTTGCTCAAACCAAAGATTGCAGGGGTGTGAGGCAGCAGAACAAAGGCTGAGCGTGGTGGAGGAGAAATCCGTGTGCTGCAGCGATCCCAGCTGACGCTGAGATGTACTTTGGCGTCCTGCATCGCTGGCAGCTGAGCGATAGGTGTGACGGCGCGTTGGGGGTCCCCCGTCTCCTGCACCCCGAAATGGCACAAACAGACTGCACCAGCCGGTGGAATAGAGGAAGTTTATTGCCTCTCCAGGATACAGCACAGCACAGATGTAATCTGGTCACAGAGCTGGGCTAGGATGCCTCAGGCCCCCTTGAGATGGGGGAGACTGGGCCCCTAAACTCCAGCCCCTTTCCCTAGGCTGTCTCCTCCATGCTCCCAGACAGCCAGCAACTAACTAACACTCTTCCAGCCCTGCCCCCCAGCCAGGGCAGCATTCCCCCTTCCTTTGTTCCTCTCCATGGGGGGGTGTCTGGCCATACCGGTTGAGAGGTCCCTTTGCATAGGGACTCATCCTGTTTTGCTGGGTCGTGGTACCCACGGCAGCTGGGAGGAGGGGGGGGTTACCCCAGAGCCAGCAGCATAGAAACCAGCCCGGTACCCCCACTACGTCACAATAGGAAAGCAGCACTCTGTTCCCTTCATTGCAAGGAGGCCGATCCGCTTCCCTCTGATTTCCTTTCCAGGCATGCTGTCTCCGCCACAGAATGTGATGCTAACATCGGAGAATTTCCACACTCTCTTGGCATGGGAGCCCGGTGCCAGCTCGGGCAATGGCACCCGATACGAGGTTGAAAGTCGCCAGCGGTATGTCATAGCTGTGAGCTGACTGACCTTCTGTGTATTCGGGGGCGTCTCTGCGCTCTGCAGTCCTGCCTTCCTCATGGCCACCTGGCTTCCCTCTTCTACCCAGGGCTGAGGGGGATGGATTTTTAGGTTCTATGGCCGATTTGAAAAATCAGAATCAGTTAAAAGAATTAAAATGAGAAAGTTAAAGAATTCAGTGAAATCTAAACCCAACCCGGGACTGCAAGACTCTTCTACAAATTGAAAGAACATGGTTTTGGGTCCAATGAAATACAGGTCATTGGACCCCAAATGGGGTTTTTCAACCCTTGTCACGGGCTGGATTCACCCTCTGGCGGCGGAGCAGGGGGTGATGCTGGTGCCCATCTTACAGGCAGGGTTTGCGTCTGGGCTGGCCCCATGTTCAAGTCCATCCTCCAAAAGCTAATGATGGTGTGGGTGGGCGGGGCTTGCCCCAGCTGACCCCCATGTTGGGGCGTTGTCCTGGAGCCCCAGGATCAAGTCCCATCGCCTGAGGTGGAGAAGGAGCATTAAGCCCCGGTCTCCCATAGCCCAGGAGGGCTCCGCTGGCAGCCGTTCTCTGTCCTGAGTCAAACGCTTTGGGCAGAAGCTGGGTGGCCGCTTTGTGTCCAGTCTGTCGGTCGCGGCAGGGCTCCCAACGGCCTGTTTGTCTGGAGCCCTTTGCCCAAGTCACCTCCTGCCTGCGCCCGCAGGGGAGGGACTGAGCAGCAAGCGAGGGCTGCGTTTGAATTCAGGGGGGCGGGGGGCAGAGCATCGGTCTTGGCCACAGGATTCCCGCCTGGCTCACCCCAGCAAGGTCTTTCCTCCTGGCCAGGGTGGGGGAGGAGGTGCGGGGCGGGTGCCGCGGGCTCCCCGTTGCATCACTGGCTGCTTCCGCACGCAGCTCTTCTGACTGGACCAAAGTGGACCCCTGCTGGCGGGACGGCCCCGGGGCGGCGCCCACTTGCAGGCTGTACTTCGAAGACATGCACAACATGTACTGGGCCAGGGTGAGAGCCACGGATGGAGCCCGCGTGTCCGGCTGG